TTGATTCAGCTCCTGTTACGAGCGTATTTATCTCTATTGCTAATGTAAATAGTTCTGTAACATGCAAAGATGTATTTATAAATTCTGTATTATTGATTTTTCTCATGCTGCAAACACATTTATCTCTTTGTTAATGAAAATGTATCTAGGAAATAGTAAGATTGATTTATGAAGAAAGGTATGGGGAGGGAGGGAGGTGGTGCCGAGCTGGGTAGGCTGTCCTTGGCCACAGCCCAAGGAGACATCATGGGACTTCCAAGGTGCATGTTTAATTTGAGGAAACTGCTCTCAGGGGCAAAGGATGTTTGGGAAGTCCTTTTGCAAGGCAGGCTGATGATGTATTTGTAGGAGTTGGCTATGCTTTCAGCTAGGGCAGACCCCCAAAATGAGCCATCCAGACCAGAAGATAGAAAGGAGCATCTCCCCTTGGTCTCAAACCCAGTTTCAGTAGGGCACAACTGAGTGAAAGAGACTGGCTCAGAAGTAAGCTTGGAGGAAAGGCCAAGCTTTGCCATTGGAGGATTCTAGCACTGGATGTTGTCAAAAGATGAAAAAGCAAAGGGAGAGACAGCAGACCACAGGGACACAGGGTAAACTGCAAAATGCATATTCTTGCAAAGTGACACTTCATTAGTGAATGCAGACCCAGACAGGTTAGCCTAGGGAAGACGCTTTTAAAGACTTCCTTCCCTAATATAGACAACGGGGTTATAAAAGCGTTGTATGGTGACAGATGGTAGCTCCACTTGCAGTGAGCATAGCCTAATGTATAGACTTGTTGAATCACTATGTCATACACTTGAAACCAATGTAACAGTGTGTGTCAGCTGTACTTCAGTAAAAATAAATACATAAAGACACCCTTCCCTGGAAGCTTCCATCACCCAAGCACTGACTACTTTCCTAGGAAAACCTCTGCCAGGCAGTTACCATCATGGTTCACAAAAACAGGCCTGCCAATGGTGTGTTGGTCTCTCCATGCTCGTTCTGGGTTCAGACTTCCTCAGGTTGTCACTTTAGGCATCTTGGGTACCTAAAACCTGTACAGTTCACAGGGCAAGTCATTGCATGCTGATGAAGAGGCATTTGCATGTACCTTGGCAACAATATGAAAACAAGAAGCAGGATCCTTACTGGGAGGCAGTTGGGCAGATGCCAAGACAGGCTTCGATCTCATGAGCCTAGAAAAGTCTAGAGAAGCTGCCTGTCCTTGGTTGCTTCCATCCAAGCGTGACCATCCCAGCCCCATCACTGATGACTCCTTTATACTGTTCTCTGCTTCGACCATTTGAACTACTTATTGCCTAACAGAAGGGCTAGCATTTTTAAACATTGCCTATGTGCTGGACATATGTCTTAATCCTTAATATCCATATTCACCACCCCTGTGAGAAAGGTCTGAGTTAAGAAAACTAAGGCCTCAGTCAGTGATTCTGAAACCTGCGTGTGCATCACAATCCCCTGGAGGATTGTGAAAGATTGCTGAGTGCCACCCCAAAGTTTCTGGTTCAGTAGTTCTGGGGTGGGCCCCAGAATCTGCATTTCTTCAAGGGTCCTGGGGGATGCTGATGCTGTGACTCTGAGGACCATACTTTGAGAACTACTGGTCTACCTCGAACAGCTAAGGTATTCACAGGCAGAATTCACACCCACGTCTGTATGATTCTCAAACCTACATCATTTGAGCTGATATGAAGTGCCCCATGGTGTGTGTCCCAGCTGGACCAGCAGTGCCTTCTCAGGTAATATCTTGTCTTGCTGAAACACCTTACCCCTTGATTCTCCATCCAGCTACCTCCACCCATTCTTCATGGCTCCGCTTAACGTTTCCTCTTCTACAAAGCTTTTCCTTAGCTCTGGTCAAAGCCAGCAGCTCATCCCCCATGCTTCCAGGATCCCCCAGGCAGAGCTCTATTTCAATTTGCTCACGTAGTTTAGTTACTATTGGTTTACTTCTCTGACCATTCTCCCACCCCTCACTACGAACCCCACGAGGATGTCCACCATTCATTCCTTGCTTTTGTGCCACTGTGCCTTACCAAGTGGCTATTCAGTGGCTGTCTATGGAACCACTAACTAGTTGAATGACTTTAGCCAGGGGCAGCATGCGTGACTGAGGTTTATGGAGATACCCGCTGTGATGGACAGAGCTGCATCTCTCTGTGGTGGGGGTGCATGGACACTTTCTAGCAGTTGTTGCTGAAGAGACTAATTTGAGAAACATGCTAAATTAAGTGTGCTGGTGCTGCCTTCTTCAAGCTAAGCATCCCTGGCTTGTCCAGATGGGTGTCCTATCTGATGTGCACATCTGTCTTCCCCTGACTGCGGTGTTGCCTTAGAGCCTGGCTGGCTGGCTGCTCCTTGTCTCCTTTATTCCTCCCCCTGTGTCCCTTCCAAAACTGTACACTCTGATGTGAGAGTGAGCGCCCCAAGGAGATGATGGCTTTGGTGTACGAATAGTTGGGTGCTCCTGCCTAAACCTCCAGATCCTTTGTTAAGAGTTATCTACTCTGAAATATGGTGGCAGTACCTACTGTGTGCTGGGCGTGTTAGTGAGCTTGGAAACTTTCCTTGAAAGAAGATGTGTGCAACTGAGATGGGAGAGATCCCTCTGCAATGACTCATGGCTTTGCAAGGTGATATATGAAGGCCGTGGGGCTGAGCCATGAGGCCGGCACAGCGAAGAGGTGGTGTTTGGGGGTGGGAACAATGAGGTCTACTGGGACAGAAACCGACATGAAGCCATAAGCATTCGGGCTGCCTACTTGTCATCCAGAGATGATCCGTGAGCCTCTGGCCAGGGGCACAGTCATGAATTAATACCAAGAGAAGAGAGGAAATCTCCATTTCCAATGTGGGGATGGAACAGTAGTGCTGAGCTCCTTGGCAGTTACACATTCGTGCCATACTCCTGGAAACTGCAGTAATTTAGAGCAGTTCAGTATTTAGACTCAACTGTGTAATTCATCCTGATGTTTCCCATTCATCAAAGCCTTGTGTTTGTTTGTATTACCATGAGAAAAATAAAAAACGTGGGGAAAAAAGATCCCCCCCTCCTTTCATTACAGGCAAATTACTACAGAGTTACAACCCTTGGGGCCCTTCAAGCAAAGGAACATCTTGCTTCAGTAAGATATAAATAATAAACAATAATTAGAAAGATTTCTTCATCGAATTTGTTATTTTATGTTTCCTTTCTTCTGTAATGTATTGAAACAAATACTGAGCTCTGTTTCTGGGCCATGTAGCAGGGCCTAAAGGAACTCCATGGAGCCATCGCTGGCTCCTCCATGTGCATGCTGGGAAGACTGGTGTCAGCCCTGGGTCCAGTGCCATGGATGCAAATCGGAGGCTGCCTTGGCTCCAGCCCTCCAACTTCTTACATTCTACTGTGCAGAATAATTGCTCCTAGTTACTGGCCACTGAGTTTGTGCCAGTGGCTCAGCGACATCGCCTCAGTTAGTCACAATGGTAGCCCCCGCCACAGGCTCTGCTTCTCGCCCTGTTTTAAGAGATTCAGAAATGAGGCACAGAGAGTTTAGCTAACCTGCCAGTCCTGCAGTGTCAGTGATGGGCGAGCTGCGACGGAAGGCAGGTGGTTGGACTTCAGAGATGCTGCTTCCTCTTGCCCGGTATGCTGTGCTCTGAAGTCCCAGTGATATGCTGCCATAGAAACCATGCAAGGTATGGAGATGGCCTGGGAGGAAAGGGATGGTGATGGCTTTGCACAGGGAAGGGAGGCCCCCCGGATCTTCGGGGTGTTTGCAGAAGAACAGCAGGTGGATAAGTGAGATAAAGGGGTTCCAGGCAGAGGAAACACCATGGCCTGGTGCCATAGATGGGGACTTTGTGGGATTTCTCATTTCAGCCTTGGCTAGGGGGCTGAGCAGGAGCAGCAGCTGAGACCAGAAGATGGAGGGTTGTGTAGATCAGGTTGAGAAGATTGGATCTCCTCCTGGAAAGGGTGACTCAGGGAGAGGTGGGGATGGTGATCCTGGTTGGTACAAAGGAGAAACAGATTTCCAGAAGAGAAATAAAGAGTAATCAAGTTGGAGCCTGGAGAGAGAGAGCCTGGCTCACCACTGAGCGTTTGGGGATTTTTGTTCTTTTTGCCATTTTATTCTGTATGTGACCTTCTCTCAGCACACTGAAACTGGTGGTGCCCACTTAAGGCAGGTGAGAGCTTTGTGCCAAGTGGTACTTCCTGGTCTGACTATTGCCCCTACCCCAAGGAAGCCTCTCCTTCTCCACCCCCAGCTCAGACATCTGCTGGGGAGCCTTGAGGATGTGCTCCCTCCCTCCAACATGCACGTGGCCTGACCTACCTGCTTCTCCTTCATGTATAAGCAACCCCAGGCTCTCAGAAGTGCTTTGTTTTATCTTCACCATCTTTTAATAGTTGTTAATGCCTAAAAATGAAGACACTTCATATAGAAAAACACAGATTTCTTTCTTTACTGGAAGACAGACTGAGGGGAGGTGCTCAAAATGCAACAATTGGGTGGAACTCTAGAAGAGCCACAAGCTTTGGAGAGGACCTGCCTCTTCACGGGCACGACCTGAGTGCGTGTCTGTGCCCACACCAGTTCTAAGTGGCAGGGACTAGTCGTCGTCATCAATCTTGCCAACATGTGTTTCCTTCCGTGTTACGCTGATTCGTATACTGTGGTTGTATGTGTCTATGGCTAAACTCTAAGCTCCCCGAGGGCAGGAATGCTGTCTTATTCATCATTTTGTCCCTTGAGCTCAGCACAGGACCTGGTTTTAAGTGTTCAGTAACCTTATTGAATGAATCTACACTGAGGAAACAAACCTGGGATAGGATTAGGCCCTGGCAAGTCACGCTCTGGGCCAAGGAACTGGAGCTACTTGGGGTTTGGAGTGAAGAATGTGGAGAGTGGGCCACAGCTGGGCTTGGTCCTCAGGAGAACCTTGCAGCCCATTTATATCCCTGCAGTGAGCATCAGGTACCCATGCTTCATGCCTTTTTGCATTTTCAGGACATTCCAGGATCTCTCCAAACAAGTTGATATGTCTTACGGCACCGTCCGGGACTCTGCTGTGTATGAGTACTTCCGAGCCAAGGGCACCAACCCCCTGGAACAAGACAGCACGTTTGCTGAACTCTGGCGGACCATCAGCAAGAACGGAGGGGCCGACAACTGTGTGTCCAGTCCTTCAGAAGGCATCAGGAAGGTAGGCGGGAGCTGGCTACCTGGCCATGTGTGTGCTGTGACTGGCTGTGGGCCCCGTCATTTCCAAGGTGGGAGACACCTCCCCAGAGCCTCTCCTTTGTGTCACCTTGTCACCTGCAGGGTGATCCATCTTTAGCCAGTTGGATAGAAATTTCTCACAGGTCTGCAAGTGTCCATAGGAGATGCACACGTTCTTTAGATAAGATGCCTATTCTTGGCAACAGAAGCAGAGGGGCTGCTCATTACGTATATTCTAAGCTTCCAAAGGGTCAGTGAAGAGCAGGCAGATTAAGCCCGAGTCATGGACCTCCCTCCTTCTGGGCTCATAGGATGGTGGCCCTGAGGGGCCTGCCCATCTCAAGTGAGAACACTCAGCCAAAGCAGAAGCAGAGGAGCAGGAAAGAGGTGGAGGGACTGAGGGAACAAGGTTGAGGAGAGGGTGGGCACACTGTGGGCAGCGAGGGGTTAGGATGGGGAAGACCACACTTAAGGGGCGGAAGGCCCAGAGGAAGGGCTGGCCAGTTGATCTGGCATATCTGTGGGACTGTGCTGCAGAAGAGAGGTGTGCTTGGGGGATGGTGGTGAGGACAGCAACCCCAGGCCGGAGTCTACAGTGAGGGAACCTGAAAGAGCGCAGGGTGAGAGGAAGCTGGGGTCAGAGAGAAGGAGGATGCTGAAAAGCCATCACATGCTTCAGAAGTGGATTAGACTTTGCTCCTTCATTTCATTGAATTGCCCACAATGACCTGAATTAATCGTCACTATCCCATTATACAGATGAGGATCAGAGACATAGGGTCACACTCGTAGTTAGGTTCTGATGCCTGGGGTTCTGGACTGTGTTTGGTGTTTATCCACCGTGCGCTTGCAGAGCCCTTAAAGGAGGAGGAAGATGGTGGAAGGGAGGCAGGTGTCATATAAGAAGCTACTGGTGGTAATGTCCTGTCCAGTAACCCTTACCTGTGGTAGCTACTGTCCCTCAGGTCACCAGAGAATGGTGTGAGGAAGAGGTGCTCCCGTGGCCAGGACTGCGGTCTCTGAGCAGACGGGCAGTCCAGCCTGCCTTGGCATCTCCTCCCTCCCCTTCTGTTCTCACAGAGCAGTTAGCTCGGGATGCCTTCTCCTTGTTTAGCCACACTGAACTGCAGAAAGCGTCTGGGCTCTGAAGCCTGACACGTTTGGGTGTGAATCCCAGCTCCACGCTCACCAACTATGTAAATTTAGCACACTACTCTTCCCGCCTGAACCTCGCAGAGTTGAGAGAGGTCCTTTGGGGGTCTCCTTAGAAACTTAAAACACTCAGAAGTACACGTTATGGTCGATACCATAGCCAAGTGATAACAAAAATAACAGAATGCAGTATAAATGTGTTACTCCCGTGCTGACAAGATTTATTAAAATCTCTTTGTTTTTAGTGAATTACAAAGGATGGCACTCTAACCTCGAACTGCTAGGTCTTCTTTCATCCCTGACAGTGAATCTTTGGGGCTGTAGGTGACCTCATTTGGAGATAATGAATACAAAGTTGACTTACGGCTTTTTATGAACGTGAGGCCTGGGCCAGATGGCCTTTGAGTTTCCACTTTCTGCTTTTTTTGTCTCTCATAGAGAGCTGGTACTCCCATCCACATAGGATTCTTGTGAAGATTCGTTGCAACAGTGCTACAAAAAGGACTTCCAATAAAGGAAAAGATGGCTACTTTTGACTTTATTAAACTTCCATTTATTGTAAGACACTTTAAAGAAAAAGAAGAGACAAGTCACACACTATGCATCATAACCAAGATAGGATAATATCAAGATTATAGGAAGAACTTTTATAAATCAATAAGAAAAATTTAAAAAATTTAACAGAAAAATGGGCAAAAGACTTGCACAGGCCTTTCACAGAAGAGGCAATGCATATGGCCAGGATATCACAGGAAGAGATACTCAAAATCATTAGTGATCTAGGATATGCAAATCAAGACCATAAAGGTATATCATTTTGCACCAATTAGACTGGCATAAAATGAGAGGTGGTGGAGAGGACACGAGTAACAGGTGCTTAATTGCTGGTGGGAGTGTACCCAGTACAACCACTTTGGAAATGAGTATGCTATTCTCTTATAAAACGGAACATTCATATACCCTATGACCCAGCGATGCCACTCCTATATATCTACCCGAAGGAAACTCCTGCATGCACTTCAGAAGTGAGAAAGATCAGGGTAGTGTTGCGTATAAAGTCAGAACCCTGGAAACAATGCAAATGAGCTTTAACAAGTGAAAAGATATGACCTGCAATGAAATGAATGGCCTACAGCTCCATGTAATAGCACGAATGAATCTTAGCAGAAAACATTGAATCAGAAAAAGCATTAAAGGCAATTTCATATGGGTCAACTAATAGAAAAAAACATACAACTTAATACCCATTTGAAATGTATGAAACGCATGCATGCACACATCCAAAGTAAGGATGAAATACAAAATTCACAGTAGTGGTTAGTATAGATGGGAGAGGCAGAGCAGCAGGGAGGAGAGAAGCAAACCGTTGAGTGTAAGTCAAGGTCAGTGTTAACTTTAGATTCACTGGGTTAAAAAAATTTTTTTTCATTTCTCATTATAATATTTATTTATTTTTTATTCTTATGTTAATCCCCATACGTTACATCATTAGTTTTAGATGAAGTGTTCCATGATTCATTGTTTGTGCATAACACCCAGTGCTCCATGCAGAATGTGCC